GACTTGATTGGTTCGATCGTTTGCATCTGGCTGATGTCCCACTAAATTCTCTACGCAATACAGTGAAGAAGCATAAAATGCTAGACAATTCCGGACGGAGCCGAAGCCGCAAACCCAACAATCAGACGAAACGACAGGCGTCAACAACAAGCCCAAAGGTCCCAGATAAACCCCCAGGTAAACATCCTACTAATCATCCATTTTCTCAAAAGGGGAGGTGATATGTATCCACATATATATATTTATGTGTGTGTGTGCATGTTGGTCTCTCTTTCTGTTTGCTCGGTTAGTCTGTGACCACTTCACTTGTATGAACTTGTCTCCTTTAATAATGTGTATTCTCCTTATATTATATTATATATAATATGAGTGTTTGTTGACAGTCCGTTGCTTGGTGACATATATCCATATATGTTTGTTGGCATGTCTGCTATATTCGCTATGTATAATTGGATCGACACTCCATTATAATTAGCCATTCATGTTAAGACTGTCTAATGATTCTTCCCACGCTTGTCTGAATTATTTATATATATTCGCATTCTCAATTTGTGTGAACTACTTTACTTTACAACTACTTTACTTACTTACCACTTTGGTGTGAGACCATTTATTTTCGTCTCCTTGTATTTGGACAATAGAAGTATCATCGCAAACCTAGTGGTCTTCTGATTTCCGCCTTCTCGCGTCAGGACTATTAGTTTCTCGACCAGTCCATACCAATAATTCAGCGACGAGTACATAACAATTTGGCGACGGGGAAACTAGAACATAACAATTTGGCGACGGGGAAAACTACTATTAACCACACAGCAGCAACAACATAACAAGTTACTATGGATCCTATTAAATTGGAATTATTGTTTGAACGACAAATGAAATTAATGGAAATGTTCGTCAACCAACAGACTGGTCCAGCTCCACCTTCAAGCAATCCCAATCATACCATGCTACCATCTGTCGACGGAATTGTGAACAGCATTTCAAAGTTCAATTATGACCCAGAGGCTAATGTCACTTTTGACACATGGTATCAACGTTATGAGGATTTATTCACTGTTGATCTCGCCTCACAAGACGATGCCTGGAAGGTGCGAGTTTTGCTACGTAAATTGGGTCCGGCAGAATATGAACGGTACTGCAACCTAATTTTACCGCAGAAACCACGTCACAAGAGTTTCGATGATACAATAAAGTTGCTGCGTGAACATTTCGGAGACCACTCCTCATTATTCAGTATACGTTATCGTTGCCTCAAGCTGGCAATGAATGAAAATGATGATTTTCTTACTCACGTTGGCACAGTCAACCGAGAATGTGAGAGATTTCGACTCAGGTCCTTAACAGATGATCAGTTCAAAGCCTTGATTCTCATATGCAGTCTCCAATCTCCTCGTTTCACAGATATCCGAACTCGACTGCTCAATCAGCTAGAACAAAATCCCAAGTTAACATTACATGACATAGCTGATGAATATCAACGGCTGATTAATCTGCAGAAAGACACACACTTGGTCCAATCAACACCTCCGAGAAGCTCTGATATTCGTGCATTACGCAAGAGCAAAAATCTCTCATCAGCTACTCCTGACCCACCTTCTCCTAATGTTCCGCGGAAATCTACACATACTCGTCCAACTTCACAAAATACTGCAAAGAAGACCCCACCATCACCATGCTGGCATTGTGGCGCGTGGCACTTTGTAAAGTCTTGCCCATACAAAAATCATCGTTGCAGCAAGTGCAAGATCATCGGTCACAAAAATGGTTTTTGTCAGCCACGCAACCCAGATATCAAAATCCAGCAAAAGCTCAACAAAATGTTGGTCCTGAATCCCCAAAAAGTCATTGAGTCTACGCGCAACCCGTCAAGTCACAACACCAGCTATGCGGAAATATATTGACCTTCAGATGAATGGTCATGATACTCGTCTGCAGCTAGATACCGCCTCTGATATTACTGTTATATCAGAGAAACTTTGGAATTATATTGGCAGACCACCTATCACCAATACTTCCCAGTCTCTTCTCAGCGCCTGTGGTGGGCGGCTAAAACTTATTGGTGAACTCAAATGTTTTGTTTCCTTCCGCAATACCAAATTCACAGGAATTTGTTACGTCACGAAGAATGATTTAAATGTTTTGGGACTTGATTGGTTCGATCGTTTGCATCTGGCTGATGTCCCACTAAATTCTCTACGCAATACAGTGAAGAAGCATAAAATGCTAGACAATTCCGGACGGAGCCGAAGCCGCAAACCCAACAATCAGACGAAACGACAGGCGTCAACAACAAGCCCAAAGGTCCCAGATAAACCCCCAGGTAAACATCCTACTAATCATCCATTTTCTCAAAAGGGGAGGTGATATGTATCCACATATATATATTTATGTGTGTGTGTGCATGTTGGTCTCTCTTTCTGTTTGCTCGGTTAGTCTGTGACCACTTCACTTGTATGAACTTGTCTCCTTTAATAATGTGTATTCTCCTTATATTATATTATATATAATATGAGTGTTTGTTGACAGTCCGTTGCTTGGTGACATATATCCATATATGTTTGTTGGCATGTCTGCTATATTCGCTATGTATAATTGGATCGACACTCCATTATAATTAGCCATTCATGTTAAGACTGTCTAATGATTCTTCCCACGCTTGTCTGAATTATTTATATATATTCGCATTCTCAATTTGTGTGAACTACTTTACTTTACAACTACTTTACTTACTTACCACTTTGGTGTGAGACCATTTATTTTCGTCTCCTTGTATTTGGACAATAGAAGTATCATCGCAAACCTAGTGGTCTTCTGATTTCCGCCTTCTCGCGTCAGGACTATTAGTTTCTCGACCAGTCCATACCAATAATTCAGCGACGAGTACATAACAATTTGGCGACGGGGAAAACTAGAACATAACAAAATCCCAAGATATAGCTAAAGTATCTGCGGTAGAAAATGACATGTCTGTCAACAGAGGCCGAACACTTCGGTCTAATTCATCAAGTGGAAAGTTCAAATTGAGCTAAAAATTAATGATAACTGACACCCGTTGCACAAGAGTTGATTCTCGTGGCCCAAGTAGTCTAGTGGATGATGCTCTGGAGTTTCGAGGGATGGGTGCTTGGTTCGAACCCCGGTGGGGACACCATCACACGCCGTGGAGTGCAGGTGTATCCAACCTGCCAATGTGTCCCAGATAGGACTGAGTGCGCATCCTGATGGATTCCACTGTTAATCACCATCCAATAGACTACTTCAAATAAGTACGGATGATTTGCGAAACCTCCCTGGCAACTACATCTATACATGAAGAGTATAATAAGTAAGCATTTTAAAGTAATGCCCAATGCCTTCAGTGAAATCAGCAAGTGGATATCAGTATTTTGGTTGGAAAAATGACATTTTCCTTAGAAATTTACTCCCAATAAAAGTGAATATTGAAAATATGTTTTCGTTTTTAAATTTAATAATCTATACATAACATGCAACAAATAATTCTTTTTTTGATCTGCGTTCCTTTGGCTAAGAACAACAGCGAGAACAAATCTTTTGACCTACAACGAACTAATCTCATGAAAGAGGCATTTTTGGTTATGGAATACATATATTTATGGAAAAAAGTATTAAACTGTTACACGGGGCATCATTCTCTGACATGTGACAGAAACATATCAACATCGAAGTATCACTTTAAGAGGCGAACCACATCCTATACACATATTCATCTAAATGACAATAAATGACATCCTCTTGAGATCGATGCAAGGCCCTAATGCTGTTTTTTAATCTTTACCAAGAGACTCCAATTGGACCGCTGTGCGTCCCTGTAATGGCATCCACAAAATCATTAGAATGGTTCACTGTGTGGTGAATATATTCCAGGGATGACGGGGAGTTATAACCTTTTCACTCATCTGTGTGTATTGTAGATCCTTGTTTCATAGGCCAAGAGATAATAGGTATTCAGATACTTGACTTTATATCTACTATCCACTCCATGAATCCTTTCTGTTGATGGGTATCAAATGAACCGATTGCCGAAAAATTATTCACTCGTTCTCCACCACGGTTGTATTGTTTCTTCAATAAGACACTTTCATCCACATATATGACGATACTACCTTCTCCCAATACGGAAGTAAGCCTCTCCATTTTCCAGGATGACATATCCCTGCAGTGCTAGCACCAATGAACTGTTGGCACCAGTCCATTTTCAGTTTTAGCAGCCACACCTCTCAAAGGTTGTTTTAAAACCCGGTAATTACAAATATGCAAAATCTGGATTAAGCACAAGTGAGAACTAGCAAAAATTGTTCCCACAAAATATTAGAATCATCAGTTTACCTTTCTTGACACTAACTCGTCTCAGACAAATGGCACAACCGTGCACAACCGATGTGCTGAAGCCTTTTATACTCACAACACCTCCACATGAACAAATCCTTTATTTCCTAATCAAACCCAAATTCAAGCAATACTGGAAAATCTTATACTCACCAAACTCCAGTCGCAACTGTGTTAGAACAGGCATTTGACTTGAAAAAAAACGAAAAAAAGATTCATCTCACATGGATGAAACCCATTGGATCATTCAGGGTCATTCGTTGAAGTTTAGAGATTGAAACTATAGACGCTAAGCATTAAAGTCATTCTACTGGATTTCAAATTAGTGGTAGTTCTATGAATTCTGAATTACTATGATAACCAACCCCCCTTAATCTGCCCTTTTATTTCGATTTCACCTCGCATTTGCCTAGTCACAGTATTCAGCCTAATCTTTATAATGGTAGAGTTCTTCAAACCTTTAAGTTTTGAATAGAACATAGGACTTCAGTGTCGAGGTTTGGAATTTCAGTAGAGGTGGTGTGATCCTTCTGAGGTTCCTAGCTACACACATTCCAAGGCTTATTGTGGGCTTGGTGAGGTATGCGAGTTCGTCAGCCAAGAAATGATGATATCTGGATCCTACTAAGAGACAGATAAATGAGACTCACCTTTATGTTTTAGCTTGTTATTATTTAATAACCTTGAATTTGTTTTAGTATTTAAGCCATCTTCTGTCCTAAGATCAGCTAAATGATTGATACAATTATCCCAGTCATCTTGTTCACTATCTTCATGGTTCTCATCACTGTTCTCATCACTGAAATTGGCCATATCGTAAATTTCTCCTGTACTGGAATTACTCTTAACAAGAGTCCTCTCCAGAGAATTCGACGACGTTGTCCACTCACTTTCTCTATCCTTGACCTTAGCTTCTTCAACATCACCTCGCTCTTCTTCATCATAATCCTCATCACCTTCTTCTGAAGTATCAACACTTTCACTTGTCACTATATAGTCTAACAATTCATCTTCAACAGAGACTGGCGGTAAAGTGGTCGGAGCTGGTGGTGGTGTTGCACCATGCATAAGAAACGATGACCAATTGTCAATACCACTCTGTAGTAGAATATGGATTAGATGATGTAAAGTGGCTTTATCTTGAATAATACTCTGCCAATTGTCCATTGACTTTACATCAATGATTGATTCAAACTTTTTTAAAACTGATGGTGGTATAGAGTTGTGTTCATCGACATAGTGTAGAAATCTTTCAACAATTGAGTCTGTAATACTTTCTGTATTTTTATCATTTGCGTTGCTATTGTTCACAGGGTAGACAGGCAATTGAAAGCTTGAACCACATGATTCATTGTTTGAATTGTTGGCAGCTTTCAAAGCATCATTTAGCCCCAGTTGTGTTGGTTCAGGGGAAATAAAAGACTTTTTTACCACCAGCTCAGGATTGATTGTTTTGGTGATTATCATTGAACAGTTGTTCACCAGTGAAGAACTATGACTTTGATAATGAGAACCAGGTATCGATCCTGCGGGCTCTGATCGTTTAGCTTTTGTTGGTGATTCTTGACGTTTTAAAACATTATAGTTGTTGTTAGGGGTGTTACATTCTGGTTCGAAGAGTATAAAATCTTTAGTGATCCATCCATTCTCAGATCGACTGTTCACAAGATACTCTTGAAGTCTCTAGAATGAAAACCAAGACAAGAATAAACAGCAGTTGAAACTACTGAGAAATGAAAAAGAATAGTATGGTTGCCAAAGATTAATATCAATAAAGCAGGAAATTCAAGTATTGGTTTGTAGGGATTTAGTTGATTGGTTACAGGACTTCATCATGAGCTGACATTGGTTAGAGAACCACTGAAAAACCTGGGAGTACTGGACATCTGTTTCGTCCTAGTTTTGGACTCTTCATCGGTACGCACCCACCAGGGTTTGAACCCAGGATAGAAACTGGAATTCATGGGCCATCGGATCCGGTCCTAGTGGCTTAATTGTCTACGACCTTGCCTTGTAATCAGAAGGTCCTGGGTTCGAACCGTGGCGGTTGGTGCGTACTGCTGAATAGTCCCAAACTGGGACGAAACAGCTGTCCAGTACTCCTTACAGGTTTTCCAATGGTTCTCTAACTGATATCAGCTCATGATGAAATCCTGTAACCAAAGCAGGAAATGGTGAATCTGCGGCAAATGCACTAAGTTCAAATCATTCAGGTTTCAAAATTTACTTTACATGGAATTGATCGATTTCAAATTCGATCAAGAACTCATATCATTGAAAGAGCCACTGATAACTAGAGAGTATCTGACGCCTGTTTTAGACTCCTCATCAGTAAGCCCCTATGACACTGTCAAGAGTAGAACCATGGAGTTTCAGGTTACGAAGCCAGTCATAAGGTCCACATGCAGTGGTCTGAGAAATCCAACTCCTTTTCTCAATCTTCAATGAAGATAGCTTCTAATTATTCTGGGATCTAGGGCAAACTCCAGTAGTTTTATTCATTCTCACTGATGGAAGAATTATCAATATTATTTACTAATGGAAACTTTAGTTTTACGTCTTCTTTCGCTAACTTTAAGAATATATTTATTGATGTCTGTTAGCATAAATTGAAAATTCGTTGAGTACAAAGAAGTGAACCCCACCATTTTGTTTTGCATAGAACACTTCATGTGAGTTGTATTTCCACTAGTGGATATTTTTTACATCGTAAATCAGGTGCAGCTCATCTCCAGTAGTAATAATGATAAGTTTTCAATAAACCATAAGGATTTAAACCTTTTATTCTTATTTAGTGAGCATTTGAGATAGCTTAAGTGATTCGAAAAGAAGCCTTCAATGTCTTATGCCATCATAGAATTTACAAATTCCGTTTTCTTATTTCAGCCACTCAGAGTTATGCTATTTAACATAATCAATCACTAATCACAACGTGTAGCAGGTCTGTTGAAACTGAGATTTATAAAACGAAAATATGAGGTGATCTGTGGATCTCATTTTCAACATACACGAGCCATAGTCTATTTGCTTAAAGAAAAGTTTTCATAAGTTTTGCTGTTTTTGCTTTACTTATTTCAACTTGTATTCCTACCGAATAAATAGCAGGTTGGGTAAGCAAGGCGGTGTTTACAGATAGTATGAAATGATTGACAATAAAATTGGGCTAGATAACAAGAAGCTAGAACACCAGTAGGCATAGGCTTTCAAACCAGAATATGAAGGCTAATTTATCCGCCTTGTGATATATTTATTCTAGATTCAACTTCTCATAGAGTTGAATTCATTTGGGACTATCTTGTTGATTGATTAGATCAAAGTGTTTGGCCTCTGTTGACATGTCTCCTCCCTGTGCGGATGCTTCAAAGATATCTGTAGATTTAAGTGATTGAAGTAATTTGTTGGATAGTGGCTAGCAGTGGAATCCAGGATACGCATTTCGTCCTACTTAGGACTCGTCATCTAGATGGATGTACCTGAAATCCCCATTGGGTGATGCTTTTCCCACAGGTTTGAAATCACTACCCATCGTTTGAAACTCCATAGTGTTGTCTGCTAGACTACTGATACCAGCTGCAAAAGAGATGGCTTTCATAGCCGAAGTGGTCTAGTGGATAACGCCTTGGCGTTTCAGACGATGAGTACTGGTTTCAAGCCTCGGTGTAAACAGCATCAGTCACCGAAGATTTCAGGTACATCCAACTGACTGACGTGTCCTAAGTAGGACGAAATGCCTATCTTGGATTCCCGTACTAGTCACTATCCACGAAACTACTTTGACATAGTTGCTGATGAGTATCACCGTAAAGTGTTAAATTAAGACAATGAAGTTTCTGAGTGTTACCTTTTCTTAAGTATGTTCTTACCTCGAAACTATTCAGAGCACTCCAGCATATTTTACTTAGTAAATAATATATGTGCCCCTCTTGACATTTATTTTTCTTTAAATTTCGAAATTCATTAATGAGTTGATGAATGTACTTTCTGGGATTCGACCCCGCGTAGCTGAATATCCATGTCACAGGCATCGTGCCCTCAAGAGGTTATCCTTTAGTCTAGTTGGCCAAATACCTTGAATCCGGTACTGAGTAAGGCGGGTTCGAATCTCAGTGGGAAAATAAGTCCCTTCTAAGTTTCATATACGCCTTGCTGATAAGAGCAAACGAGCATGCAAACTAGGATCAGGGCTCCCCGAAGATTACCTTCAATTTGATGAGTGTCATTCTATTGATAGTGTAAATACTACACTTGAGGAGGAGCTAAATGTCATCATCTGTTGACGTTTTATATATGAAAACTAAGGTCAAGAGATCAAACAGTGGTCTATCCAGTAGGTAATACAGTAATTAGTCGTTTGTAAGAGAATTTTCATTAGTAATAAAATAATTTAGGTATTCGACCGATAGGAGACCATCCTTTCTCCACGTTTTTGAATATTTTTTATTCCTTTACGTTCCCAGTTTAACATAGGAGCTAGAGACTTGAAGTTTTGGTAGCAGTGGTGTTTATTTTTATCGGACGGGGTTACTAGCCGCATGCCCAACCTTCTCTCTTTACCAGTCTTATTACTGGTTTAGCGAGGTAAAGGAGTGCCTTGGCCGGTGACTGAACCCCGAACCACCTGCGTGGTCGGCCAGCATTCTATCTCTGTGCCACCGGAGCACAGTGGCTGAATGGTATACTAGCTTGCCTTGTAACCGGAAAGTCCTGAGTTCGAACCCCAGTGCTTACGCACTTCCGATGATTCTCAAACTAGGATGAGACAGTTGTCCAGTACTCCTTTTTTGAATAGAGTCATTAATTAAAGTGTGTTAGATTAATAAATATACGTATTTTACAATCTTGAATTATCTCACACTTTGTTGTTCGTCTCTCACTCAATAGATAGTTATAAATGAACCTTTAGAATTCAACGTATCGAAAATCCTATTTTATTTTTCAATTTATATGTTACAATAGGGGAATGATGAATACTGTTGAAAGAGAAGTCTGAAGGACGTTATTTCTTTCACTAATCAGATCTGTATAGCATCACGTAACTACAGGAACCACCAATGACGATATCAGAGCAAGAAAGGATGGGAAAAGCAACGTAAACCTTTACTAATCTGAAAACACTACGGAAACTTGTTACACTCAACTCTAGGAAGGCAATCCGAATTTTCAATACTGATCTCAAGTTAACTATTATAAAGTGTTCAGAAACATGCGGCGTCATTAAAAGTACTTCCAACAGACCTTTCCCAGTACTTATTTTCGTCCAGTGCTGAAGACCACATGGCTAATTAGATAGGATAAGAAATTATGAAGTATGGCAAGGAATCGATCAGGAACCTATTGCCCAATGAATATACAGAAGAAAACATAGATAGACAGGACACAGGCTGTGCAGAGAGCGTGTACGGAGAAAAAAGAGCCTAATGGACAATCATCGAGCTCACTAAAAAGATTGCAGATGACAGAGTGAAATGACAACATATTGCTAAAGCCCTACGTTCCACTTGGAACCCAAGGGATGAATAATGATAATAATACAATCGACATTCGATATTCAGTGTGCTCCATTATTTTTCCAGTTTTCCGCCTCTTATCAAAACATTTTCTTCTTTTAGGCAAAAAGTTCTCCCATGGACAGCAACTAAATTTTATCCATACCGTCTACCTAAAGTGAAAACACATGTTCCTTAAAACGTACACATATCTTTCAGTCTAGATTACCATGTGGTCGATTTTTCAATCATATAACAATCGCCAGTATTGAACAGTTGTTTCATAGTAGTTTGAAACTTTCAAGCATTACGCAACCATCAAGGTTCGAACCCGGGACCTGCCATTTACAAGGAGATCTCCTTGACCATTCAGTCACTGTCCCATAATACCTTGTTTTCTTATCGGTTCTTTAATTAACATCAGCTTGTGGTCAAACCAGTTAAATCCATGCAAGCCGATAGTCGGATGTCATCAACACTGTTAGAGTTCAGTCAAACCACAGACAGAAACGCCGACATGCTAACTGTAAAATGCCCTAATTTTATTCTTACCAGTCAGAAGTTTTCCTGTTTGTGTAAAAATTAAGGAAAAAATCGTATAACAAGGAGGATTTTAACATACACACACACACACAAAAAAAACTAAAGACAAACTTGACAGTTATTAGAAAATTGTCTACCAACATACATGAGCTAAAATATCTGAAAATATTAAACCAGAGTCTTTCATATATTCCAAGACAAGCGCGATAGCATCTGTTGTATTCGCCAGTATAGTGGGTTTCATTTCAATACGATACGACGTGGGAAAACCATCACCAAAATGAAGACGTAACTGTTTACAGAAGGTATTTTTACCAGAGTTTGGTAAACCTGAAATATGCACATAAAAAAAGGTTGAATGTAAATAGGAGAAACAGTTAGATAAGATAAAAGTAACTGTGTATGTGAATTGATTTTGAACTAATATATAATGATGGGAAAGATGTAGCCGCTAGAAATTATGAGAAAATGTAAATGCCTTACTTGGGTCAGCTGCCTCACTGACGTTTTGCCTACTTGGCATTTATTTGGGGATAATTTGTGGGCGAATTAGATAGCCAGCCGACGGCAACAACACCTACAACAACCAACACCAGTCACCATCATTGGGAGAGACTTATAAGAGGTTAGTTCCTGGATTCACTTATCTAGAAAGCATTGCTTCAACCACAGGCGGAGGGGATAAAGATGTTAAAGCAAACCAGAATCGGAAGGGCCAGACATGCCTTTATAAATCGGAAACCAGTTTGGAAATCTTCTGCACTCAGTCAGCATAAAGAACAAGATCCGAGTTTTCAACACAAATATGAAGTCAGTCACTTCTTCTATATGGATAAGAAACCTGCACTGCGTATCATGAAAGAGATTTGCAAAAGGCAGTTTTAGACTTTCATCGATAGTTGTCTTCGCTGGCAGGCTCCATATCGAAGATCAATTGGTCAGCCGGCCGGAAACAATTAGTACCAAGAAACTCTGGGAACAAACTAAACAAGAGCTGATTGCTCAATAAATAGGTTGGAGAAAAACGGAGATGAATGAGACAAATTTCGAGAAGCCATTGAATGACATCGCGCGCCAGGCCGTCGAGTGGAATCTAAATAGGAAGTGACGTATGTGTCGTCCTAGGGTGACGTGAAGAAGATCTTGTGAGGAGGAGATGAGAGATTATGAACAGTAGTAGATCCAGTTGAAGAGGGCGGCAGAAAATAGAATAATGTGGAGGTGTATTGTTAAAGCCGTATGTCCCAATTAGACCCCAAGTGAATAATAATATTGAGGCAAGAATACATGATCTCATTAAAATTATGTTACAGACAACGACACAGTGTTTGTCAAACCATATTTAAGCAAGAATCAAACTAATATCAAGAGACAAACCGCGGAAATCTCAAAAAATGTTTTTGAAATAACATCTAGAATACTAAGATCATTTGGAATAGATACAGCTACCCGAACTATACATTCACTACAATTACTAAATTTTCGTCACTAACCGACATTTACAGCTATCTTGTCCTTTTTTGAATCTCTTCAGCAGTGAGAGCTCCTGATCACACCAAGGATCAAACTAGCCAGGACCTTCACGTTGTGAGGTCATTCTGCCTAACCAGTCAGCCTATTGGGCTGATCCTTGAATTCTCATTTCGTCAACTCGTGATTTAGCTATGTCATTACCAGCGCCTTCTATAGGTATACACTGCCCCTTGATCCGATGGACGACGCTGATCATTGTGCAATGCTGAATAGGCCTCGAAATAAGATGAACCAGTTGTACGGTGATCCCAGCTGGTTTTCAACGATCTCTCTAAGTGATGTTGATTCTTGATGAAAATCTAACGATTAAAATTAATCCAAAATCCCCACAAGTTCTGTAATTTGAATAAAATTCACTATATTCAATACTATGCGATCCGGAAGTAAACGAGGAAAAGATCAACAGCTTTCATAAGAGAAATTCTGAGGACTGTGATAAATAATATATAGATCAAAAGTTAGCATCCCCATCTGCTTCGAATTCAACAGCATAATTTTGTTGTCGAATGAGACGACATGTATTCTTTTTTATCAACCAATGCATGCAGATAATTATGAATACAAGTTTGACTGAGAAAATACAGAAATTCTAGATAGTGCAAAAACACCTGAAATACCCGGAAAATCTTGGAAACCAGGTACGCAGACGATGAATTAGCCATCTACAAATACATTTTTACAAATTAAATTAATCAGCTATATAAAAAACAGTAGGCCACAAAACAAAAAACAATCAATTTCCAGGTCAATTAAAATGATTACTACTGATTTAAATTAACAATTGATCACGAGAAACGTTATCAGAAGCCCCAGTTATAATATTCATGGAGAATTCCCAATAAGTTCACTTCATACTGAAGTCTACACTGTGAAGATATCGTCCAAAAAGACAGTGAAAGCTTCGCAATTAAACCATGCAGCTCAGAGAATGCATTTTAAGAAAATCACATTAAGAAATAACAGTTACTTCTAAAACGATGAGATTTCGAAGGTAAAGACAGTTAGGCAAGTACAACTTTAAAAACAGCACATATGACTGACAGAACTCATTTAACTCCAACACAAAGAACTGGCAAAGTAACACTGCTTGACTCACAGTAACTAATCGCTCTATCCATTACAATCCTATCAAAGCTTAATAATCAGCCCGAACAGCTAAGCAGATATGTTGCAGGATTTCATCATGAGCTGACATAAGTTAGAGAACCATTGGAAAGCCTGGAGTATTGGACAGCTGTATCGTCCTAGGTTGGTACTCTTCAGCAGTGGGTGCGTACTACGACTTGTATTATTCAGTTAGGTAGTTACCTGGGGTTCTGGTGCGAAGTCGTGACCACTGTGGTGCAGCAGGTCGGGTGTGCGTCGGTGGCACAGTGGTTAGGACTCTCGCCGACCATGCATATGGTCCGAGGTTCGATCCCCTGCCGACGCACAACTGATATCTATGGTCGGCCTGCAAAATTTGGGCTACCAATATCCATGCTGAAAATTCCATACTTGTATCAAAAATACAGTGTGGAATCAAGCTGTAATCAAAAATATTAAAAAATATATAATATAAAATACTCGCCGAAGACATTAGCTAGGGGTCGCGCCGTCATAAATCGACAAAGTTAGAATTCATGGGCCAATGTATCGGGTCCCAGTGGCTTAATGGTATACGAGCTCGCCTTGTAACTAGAAAGCCCTGGGTTCGAATCCCGATGGGTGCGCACTGATGAAGAGTCTCAAACTATGACGAAACAGCTGTCTAGTACTCCCAGGTTTTCCAACGGTTCTCCAACTAATGTCAGATCATGATGAAATGCTGTAACCAATCAAATCCCTACACACCAACACTTGAATAAGCAGAAATGCCTTCGAGTGCCACATTGAGTGACACTGGTTCAGACTTCCGAGGAGACATCAGTTTTTTGGCCTTGCAGATGATCGTTGCATAGGCATGACGACAAGCTAGGATAGACTTAGCTTCCTGCCGACTATCTCAACAAACACCAAGATGGCGTATAACGTGGCTTGATGACCAATCTGAAAACTTGACTGGTAGTATTCAGTCTGCACCAACGCGAAGGACTATAAAAACCAAGGTATTTGTTTTCTTCCAAGTGACCGATCAGTTTAAGGAATTGATGATAGTATCTAATCCGACTTCTGTGGTTTTATATAAAAAAACCAACGGCACATGTCAGGTGATCCACAGACGAAAACTCAGCGAGGTGTTTGAAGTGAATACAGGAGTAAGACTGTCTATTGTCACCGACGATATTCCTAGTTGTGGTGGACTGGATTATGAGGCACATCGAGCATGGGGTGTGAGAAAACAGGAATACGCTGGACAGATTAGAAGACTCGAGCAGGTCTGGATTCTCCGCAAGGATGATTTGCGTTTAGTACCACACAAATTCGACGACCTACAGGCGAAAATCAACAAATTCGCCAGACAAGCAGGCGGCAAACACAAGACTACAGGTGATCATAAAGAAGACAAAGATGATGGAGGTGACCAACCGACAGTAACAGCAACCAGCACCAATCACTATCAATGGGAGAAGTTTGTTAGAAGCTTCTTCCTTTACTTATCTAAGAAGGATTATTTCAACCAGACGTGACAGCATGGATGAGAATATCAAAGGCAGAATGGAAAAAGTGAGACATAATTTCATAACATAAAGAGGAAAATTCATATTTTCAACAGAGCTGGTAAGATAGTCCCTTCTTCTGTATGAATCAGAAATTTGTACTGAGTTTGACGAAAACCATTCCCAACAAGTTACTTCGTAAGAACATCTTTTGCAAGGTCTCACTTGTTCTTAACCCAGATTTTGTATATTTGTTGTTACTGGGTTTCAAAACAGCCTGTGGGAGGTACAGCTACTGAAACCGAAAAAAATCTGGCACCAACTGTTCATTAGTATCAGCACTGCAGAGATATCCCATCCTGGAAAATGGAGAGGCGTACTTCTATATTGGGAGGAGGAAGAGGTATCTTCGTGCATGTGTATGAAACTGTCTTATTGAAGAAAAAATACAACCGTGGTTGAGAACAAGTGAATTATGTTTGGGTGACTGATTTATTTGATAACTCTCTACAGAAAGGATTCCTCAAAAGGATATCAGATATAAAGTCAAATACTGTAATACCTATTATCACTCGACTGCTGAAACAGAGATCTATAATACACACAGATGAGTGAAAAGGTTGTAACTCCCTGTCATTCCTTCAAAACATTCATCACAGAGTGGACCGTTCTAGTGATTTTGTGGCTATCATTACAGGGACACACCACTTCTATCGAAGGCTTTCGGGGATGGCTAAAACACAAAATTAGAGCTACGAATTTATCCGAAAAAGATGTTATTCTTGGTCATTTCTATCAATAGATGTAGTGTAACTTTTCAGTTGATACTCCTATGCTAAACTGGAAGATGTTTTTATCACATATGAGAGAAAAGTATCCTATGTAACAGTTTTATACAGCTTTTGTGCATTTTGTTTCATAAATATATATATTCCATACACAAAATATGCCTCTTTCATGTGATTGGTGCGCTCAAGGTCATTCGCTGGTTGGTGGTTAGTAGTGCTTAATGTTTAACTTTGTCCCTACGAGCAGTCATGTGGCCAGCTAAAGAGGACGTCAGAGAAGTGGACAAGGTGGAAACACGTTGATGAAGCCCCATTTCCTACTCGGAACCCAAGAGAACAATAATAATTAAATGAATAGGTGTAAAAGCTTTTCACTTGACGGACTGCAGAAAAATGTACAAAGAACTATAACTGTAGCCTGTCAACACAA